GCTTTCATATTGCATAATTATTTCATATAATTGTTGTATATGTAAATGAATGTAGGACCAGTAAACATGTATTTTTCTTAGGAAACTTATGGCACAAGTTCCTATCCAACCTCACACCAGACAAATCTCAAGAAACCTCAGAAGCTCATAGAAACTTATGTGTTGGCCTAGCAAACCCTGAACATATTGACTCCTTCCAGATGGTTCCAAATAATAATCCATATTATTTTTTTTTTACCAACCCATCTTTTCTAGAGAAAAGATGGCTACCCCGCCCAACATTTGGCCACCTGCTGCAACGGCCAAACCATTTGTGGATAAGTTGTGGCTACTCAGAAGGCATATTGGAAGTGGTTCTCTAGCAAGTCATTTGCCTAAATGAAGTCATTCTAATTAATCTAATGACTGCTTCATATAAGTTGAATGGCCTAATAATAATAGCAGCAATCATTTATAGTGCTTTTTCATTGCATGTATATAGGCCTTGCCCAGTCATGCCAGTCTGAGATGGTTGATATTTGAGAAGTATTGTCTAAGGGAAATACTGACCACCAAAGGTCTATTGCAATATAGTCATGTTATTTATTTTAGGTCCCTTGGTTCATTATTATTATGGTCATTATTGGTGGTGGTGTTTGGTTGTTACTGAGATCTCTTCAAGAGAAAGAGACATCATGAAACACATTTTTGGAGCTTTGAAAGTCTGTTCTTACTGATATTGTCATTTGTGTTTTTCACCATTTCTTATATAATGAACCAGACAATAAATTCTATTTAGATTTTGAGGCTGTTTTATAGTATCTCTCCTTTGACAAACTATTAAGTTTCCTTTTACTAGCTATGGAGAATTATAATTGTCCTGTTGTCCCCTTTTTTGGACTAACAAGGAAGCATAATCACATATGTATCTTCAACTTAGAACATTCTACAATTCTTCCACTCCCTCTGTCTTTTCCTCCATGACTTAATTATTATTTGTGCCTTTACTATAATGGTTCTATTACATTTACATATTTTTGTAGGCTCTTGGACTGCTTTTTGGTAGTATTCCTGCCCTATCCTGACTATGTAGTCCTCTGGAAAATTCTTATTTATTCTGACCTTTTATCTTACCAGAAAATAGAGATATCCTCATGGAGTATAGTACCACGTGGCTCATCACTCATTTTGCAGAGAAGTGAAAGCTCAGAAAATCTGCCTACTGAGATGGTGTTCTTGTGGCAGGTGACAGAGCCAGCTCTATATCAGAGGCCCTGACTCATGTTCTCTTTGAATTACTGAAAATGTGAAAACTCCCTGTATATCATTTCAGACGGTGTAAGGGGCTTCATTTTTTAAATTTTAATTGAAATCTTTTTTTTTTTTTTTGTGGGTGGGGAGGCAGGGTCTCACTCTGTCACCCAGGCTGGAGTGCAGTGGTGCAATCTCTGCTCACTGCAACCTCTACCTCCCGGGCTCAAGCAATCCTCCCACCGCAGCCTTCTGAGTAGCTGGGACTACACGTGTGTGCCACCACACTTGGCTAATTTTTAATTTTTTTTTGTAGAGATAGTGTCTCCCTATATTTTTCAGGCTGGTCTGGAACCTTTTGTCTCATGTCATCCTCCTGCCTCAGCTTCCCACAGTGTTGGGATTACAGGCATGAGCCACCATGTCTGGACTGGGGCTTCGTCTTTAGAGAAAGATATTAGAACTTTTTTGTTATCTATCAGTGAAAGTTATATTTTCCAAGCATTCCTGGCATTTACTCCTTCTTACTCAAATCCAAGTCCGGAGGTCGGTGAGATAATTATCAGTTTAAGTCCTGAATTTTATAGTGTTCTTTTTCACTTATATAATTTCAGAATCTTAAGTTCCACTCACTAAGAAACCAAGGGTCTGGGTTATCTGGCCCAAGATTCTCCCTGTCTCTACCATACCATCCTGAGACTCCAGACTGGAATACTCACAAATCCTCCATATTCCCCCAGGGGCCACTTGTCACCTTTCTATGGATGGAAAGAGAGAGATAACCCTGTAAGTGCCTGCCTCCCTCTCCCCAGGCAGTTGGTATCTCTGGTTAGAGTCATTGGGGAAAAAAGGGCTCCTTGCTCCCCTCTGCATCCCATATAATTCTCCCGCATCCATCAATCTCCAGTCTTCTCAGGACCCTTCTGGGGCAGCACTGTCTTCTGAGACCTGGGGCTCTTATATATACTCACGGCCTGCTCGGGTCAGGAGCCTGTCTGAGTGACCAGGTAAAATTAGACTTAACTTGTAAAACTGGATCATTTGTATCTGAGCTGCCACCATATAGTAAAACTGCATCTCCCTAAAGGCATGTTTTTTAAAATGATCCTTTCATATGTCTATATTGAATACAAGAACTTAGCTGAACTCAGGAACTAATAAGCATCAATCATTAGCTGTATGCTAAAAAACTTTCAAGTATTTTTTGCAACTTTTTTTTTTAAAGAATGCCTAGTGAACCATCTCAAATCAAATAGATATATAAGTGCATTTTATTGAAAGAAACTAGAATCTCACAGCCAGGCACGGTGGCTCATGCCTGTAGTCCCAGCACTTTGGGAGGCCGAGGCCGGCGGATCACGAGGTCAGGAGATTGAGACCATCCTGGCTAACATAGTGAAACCCCGTCTCTACTAAAAATACAAAAAAATTAGCCAGACGTGGTGGCGGGCGCCTGTAGTCCCAGCTGCTCGAGAGGCTGAGGCAGGAGAATGGCGTGAGCTCGGGAGGCGGAGGTTGCAGTGAGCAGACATCACGCCACTGCACTCCAGCCTGGGCGACAGAGCGAGACTCTGTTTCAAAAAAAAAAAAAGAAAGAAACTACAATCTCAAAATGTTCTCTGAAACAAATTGATTAATCAGTCTCTGCTTTTTCACTGCCTCATGATCAGAGTTTCCTCTGCTAATAAAGCCCTCTGTCTTCTTATTGCTGCTTTTACTTGCTCATTCAACAGATTTTTCCTTTACTGTCTAAATAAAGAAGAATTCGTGCACAGTCTGAATGGGTCAGGATTTCATCCCATGGTCATGTGGGAGCTCCAAGATGTGATCTCCGGGCTGGTACATCACTTAAAACCAGAGACAGGCTACCTATCTGTGAGAAGAGGACCTAGGTAAGGTGAAGAATGTGGGAAGGAAGACAGAAGTGGTAAATCTGAGGTGACCCAGATGAAAACAAAAATAATGATTACGTTGTTGGCTAACACTAATTGAAGACCTATTTTAGGAAGTCATTTAATCTGCCTCCATTCTCTTTTTTAAACTTAATTATCTATTTACAAATTCCCATAAATATTTACTGAATGCCCTTATAATAGGTGTTTGATTAGATTCATTAATTCGTTCATGCCTTCTGCGAGCTGGGTAGTGACTTCCCTGTTAGGGATATAGCAGTGGAAGTAGCAAAGTCCCTGTTCTCAAAATGTTTATATTCTAGTGGGTCGTGGGGCAGACAGTAGGCAAACACATGGCATGTCAGGTAGTAATAAGTGCAACAAGGAAAAATATATCATGCAGGGAAGAGTTATAGTGATAAAGGCAGGGTGGGAAGAGAAAAGACTTTTATACTGGTGGTCAGAAAGAATGTAAATATAGGTTTTTGTTGGAAAGTTTTGAAATTGTTAGATTTGTTTTCTTAGAATATATTCAGATAATTTAAATCTCTTTTGGGCAGCAATTCTGAAATTGGGACTGTAACTTGCTGAAAACCCTCTTGCCATGCATTGGTACACCTTTAGCCATGGGACCTGGAGGAAAGGAAATAATCTAAAGAACCCTGTAGCATGTAACCCCAGAAGTCACCTTGTCCTTAACTTGTAAAACACCCTTTGTGGCTGGTCTGACGTCAATCAGCAAGGGTTGGTGGATGATTCATCACCATGTTCATACCATTGTTGGTTCCTGTTATTGTTTTTCTCCTCACATTGTAGTTAATCATTTGTTGGAGTTGGGTTAAACACTCACGTGCTTTATTAGGTCTTTTCCTACAGTTTCATGCATGCCAACTCCCTTGTGAAAATGTAGGTGTGGATTAGGTTCTATTTAGTTTCAGGCTGTGTTTCCTTTTCCCAAAGGGGCCAGCACATTGAATTGAGAGGCCAGAATAAGGGAACCCAATTTGTAAAACAAAAATCATGAGTCTCCATAGGTTGGAGGACAGCGTGCCACTCTTTGGCACAAGCAAACTCACCTGGAAGGTCTTAGTTCTACTCTGAAATTACCGTAAAGTTTAAAATAATTCCATAATAAGGCATTAACCTGAACCCTCATCAGCAGATAACAAGAGAAGGGAGGACAACCAGGATTTAAGAATAAACACGAGAAGGATGGAGACCAGACACCACTAGGATTTCAAAAACCCAGATCTGTTTTCAAAATATACTCTAACCCCAAGTTTCTGAGTTGAAAAGTCACTCCTAAGCTATGCAGACTTGAAGGGAATAGCTTAATAAAACTCTCCCACTCCCTAGCCAGGGTGAGGTACAGTCAAACAGCAGGAGGCCTTTAGCAAGTCTTTCTTTCCTTTTTATATTTTCTTCTAAAATATCCTCCTTCTTAGCTTAACAGCAAACAAGACAGACACTGCAGACCTGACTCGCTCCGTTTGGATTGGGACACTTTCTTTCCACCGGCTTGTCAGAAGAGTCTTTGTCTTGAAACACAGAAAAAGATAGATCTCCCCACCATCAACAGCATATTTCTGACCAGGCTCCAAATGAAACTTCAGACCAGACTGGATTCTTTCAAAGCCAGGCTGAGCTTAGGCTGGGTCCTGCTTGCAGAAACTACTAATGACTTGCTGGTAACCACCCAAGTCCGAAAAGCCTACAAACACTTGAAATAGGGCTTCAGAATTGAAAAAGAAGTTTCTTCTCTTAGTTCACTCAACACCATCTGGCTAGCTTTTATAATCCTTATTGCACTATGATTAATTTTTTTATACCATAGATTTCTGCTAATTAATTGTAATTACCAAGGACAGGAAATTTCAGTGTGACCAGATCATGTTTATTCAGAACAGCAAAGTTAGAGAACTGTGCTTAAACAGATGTTCTCAGGATTATAGAATTTTTAAAGCTGGGTAGAACCCCTGAAATCAACCAGTTCAAATAGTTCACTTAATAGATGAGGAAGCCTGGGCCCAGGCTTTGTAGCCAGTTAGGAGCAGAGCCCTTAAGAGAATGCTGACTTCCACTCTCCCAGTCCAGGTATGTTTGTACTCTGTCCCACTGCCTTGAGAATGGGTGCGAACCAGAAGCAGCCACTTCTCTTCTTTTGGGTAGATTCATCAAATTCAGGATGGAATTTGGTCAAAATGTCTCATTGCATCATCATGTAGCTTTGAAACTCCAAGTTCTTTGGACATAGAGTTCTTGTCTATGTGATGTGAACCAATAAATTCTCTGGAAAAAAAAAAATTAGTCCAAACACTTGGCTGGTGTCTGAGAGGGGAAAAACAAAAAAAATCTAGGTGATTGAATTTCTTAAATCAAATTAAGCAGCTGTTTTTGCATCTTGTGAACACTCATGTTGGGTCTAGATAAACTTGTCCAAAGCTGGGACTGGGCAATTGAATTGAAAGGAAATTGTGTGGCAGCTCTGTAGCACGTGACTTACCCATGCTTGCCGGGCTTCTGGGCCGATGGGGAAGCTGCTGCTGTAGTCCCGTGGTTTTCAAACTGTCAGGCTACATGTTTATTTTTAAACAGCACAATCCTTATTTCAAATGAAGTATTTATGTGTATGTCTACATGTAAAATAGATAAGGGGCATATTTTTGTTTGAAGTGATAACTTTCTCTTTACAAACAGCAATAAATGAGAAAAATAAAATGGGCTTAACGTACTAACATTTGAAATTGTGAGTTACAGGAATCCATTTTAGTCATAGAGCAGCGTTGGCACCTAATTTGTTTCTGTATGTGGATCTACTGGCACAGCAGCTCACTCATCTGGTGTAGCCAGTGCTGTACATGATCGGACCCGCAGGAAGGATGCATGCATTGATTGCTCCTGGCTTGCGAGCTTGTGAAGGCAGGAGCTATATCTCAATTCACCATTTAATCTACCCCACCCCAAAATGACACCTACTGCCAGACTTTAACAAAGTAGGCATCCAGCAAACAGTGGCTGCATTAGGAGGTAATGAGCTCGTACCCGATGAGGTTAACTAATGGTGGTGTACTGGAGAGCTCAGAGGAGCTAAGAGCTATGGTCAGGTCAGTAAGTTTAATGAGATACTCTTAACTGCATCATGAAGGTTGAATCAGAACTGAATGTGCCAGCTTGGTTCGTACAAACTCTCCCTCCTTCTTGCGTAATCTAATTAATGAGATTCTCTTCATTCAAGTGGTCATCAGAACAGGGACATTTTTCAACTCTTGTTCTAACTTACTCTCCTGCCCTTTCAGCCAGTAATAAGCTGCATAGATTTTATCTCCTATATGGACCTTTTGGGCCTCTTTAGACTATTCTTTTTCCTAATGCTTGGGCTCAGGCCTTTATCATCTTTCACCTGGACTATTGCAATAATGTTCTAACTGACACACTTGTCTCAAGAGTCAACCTTTTGTAGCCTATGTTGTGCTTTGTTATAAAATCTATTTTCTAAAAACCCAAACCTTGTCAGTTAAATCACCTGCTACCAAAAAACCTTCAATGGCTTCATAGTGTCTATTGGTTAAATTTCAAACTCCTTTGCAGGGTATTCAAGGCTATGCTTTGCCCTCTGTCCCCACTGCCCCACCTCATGAGACCCTTACTTTACCAACATGGTGGACACAGGTCTTCTTGGGGCCTCTGCTCCTTTGCTTGTGTTCTTCTGCCTGAAATGGCCTTGCATGCTCTCTGCCTCTGACGCCTATCTCCCAGAAGACAGCACTTCCCATCAAGGCAGCTCCGTGTCTGTTTCGCTCAGTGTTTTATTCCCAGCGTTAAGTACAGTGTCTGGCACAAAATTGTTATCCAGTTAATATTTGTAGAATAATTAGAAGAATATAAAAAGGCTGATAAGTACAATTTGCATTGAATTAATATTCAACTGCATTTCCATTACTAGGAGGTAGTATACCATTTAGTATACTTTGCATTGAATTGACACTCAACTGTATTTCCACTACTAGGAGGTAGTATACGTTGAATGAGAGTGCTCAATTCAGTTCAGGACCAGACATAATAGGAAACACAAAGATTGGTCAGACATCATCTCTACACTGTAGAGAGACAATCTGAAGTAATCAGTGCTGGCAGAGAATGTGATAGCCATCAAAAGAACCAGGCAGACTATAATAGGTAAACCAAGGTACTGGTCTCCTTACTGGATTCCTATGATTTCTGTCCCTTCCGATATAATCTGCATGTATTTCCCAGATTCATCTTCTCAAGTGCTCTTTTGGACACATCCTCCCTCATCCTAAAAATTAAATGCCTTGTGACCCTTGTTAGTGACAGATAGAAGTCCAAACAACTTATTAAAGCCATATAGTCTTCCCAAAGGATCCCAAAGGATCTGACTGTCATGACCTACCCTTGTGGGATTCTGTCTTGCTCCAGGGAACATCTTACATCCCACAAGCCTATGTTGCTCCATTCCTGGAAGGAAGAGCCATGGCATGAGGCAGCAACACCGTCCTAGGAGCAGTGGTCATTTGTGCTGGTTCATGATACCCTTGCTTGTCTGGATCCTAGGAGGCAGGTCTCAGTGTCTTAGACTGAACTCTGTTCTCTATCTCTTGCTCTACAAACTGCCCCGCCCCCAATCAAATCATACATTCAGGGTGTTTCTCAGAAAACAACTGGAGTTCCCTGTCCTGGGCTTTCCCTGCTGTATAATCAGGAGCTTGTAGAATTATTTCTTAGCTTAACTTACATTGTTTTCCAAAGTCTTCTCCCTCCCTACTTTATAGCAAAGATTCTAGCAATTAGAGCTCATCAGAATCATCTGAGAAGCTTACTAAAATGCAGATTTCTGAGCCTCACCTTTGAGAATGATGAGTTTTAAATCAGTATTCTGGTTGATTCTGATGCAAATAGTTCACTAACAACGCTCTGAAAACATCTAGAGTGTGGTCACCAATAGTTCTTCCGCATGTATTCATTCATTCATTCATTCATTCATTCATTCATTCATTCATCCAACCACAAACATTGGCATTTCTTCTACAACAGAGCTTTTGTAACAAGAATTGAATATGATGGGATCAATTAATTAAGAATAATGGATTACAGCTACTGTTTATTCCAAACAACTGTATTCTAAAACCACTCAGTAATCATACCTTCTTAAGGAAGAAAATGTTCGAATTTGCCCTGCACAGCTGCTTGGAGAAGCTGTGTAGTTTATTTGGCTCATTAGTGAACGATAAGAAAATGTGAGCAACTCTGCCCTTACATGGTGATAGGAAAAGAAATGCCTTTCTTAAGCTAGATGAATGGTTTTGCTCAAAGATGTTTGGTTTTGTAAAGCTATGCTCTTATATATGTATTTTTAATTCCAGAAAGAAAAAAAAAACTTTGTAATCACACATCTGAAAATTTAACCCCTAAGTCCCTATATGATTTTTGATAAGTAAATATTTGTCAAGAACATAAATTTTAAAGTATAGAGAACAAATTGCATTAGTTCTTTTAGCCTACTAAGTTCCAAATACTGTGATAGGGTCACAATGATAGAATGACAAACAGGACTTGCTTTTTTGGCCTGAAAGAGTTTATCAGGGTTTATGATGATCATAGTTTCTCAAACCAAAAATTAGGAGCTGTAATATTACATATAGTCTTCCAAATCTGAATGTGAAATTATTAAAATTCCTGAATGTACATTCCTCTTTCTGTATGAATTCACAACTTCAGCCAGACTGATCTATTCACTATCATCAACCTTGCCACGCACATTCCTGCCACCTCTCTTTGGTTGTTTGGAGTACCCTCCTTTCTCTTGTTCTACTCATCTAAACCTAACTTTATCCAAGATCCAGTTAATGTTCTACCTCCTTTGCAAAGCCAACCTAAACCATCTCCGACCACAATGAACTCCAGTGCCCCTTTCTCCCTTATTGTCTACCTTCTTACTTGGCATTTAACAGACACCAAGGCATTGTTACAAATCTTTTTATGCACAGGCTACCTCCCCAGTTACACTACTGCACAATCCTTTGGAGGGCAGTCATTATACCTTATGTGTCTTTGTAGTTTGATTGGGCGTAGCCTCTGACCCATAATGGGTACTCCTTAGACCTAAGGTATGGATGAGAGGGTGAACATTATATGTATTCTATATTTACCAAATATTCTTCATTATTGTCCATTCTGTTATGCAGATTCCGAATTTCAGTTATGTCTACAATATCTACAGTTTCAATGATGAGTGTCTACAGGTTGATAACCCCAAGCTATCGCCTAGGAGTAATGTCTATTTAAAACCAAGAGTTTCAAACTCATGCCTTCATGGGGCAGGCAAGTAACCAAGTTGGACTATGTCCATCCAGCTCCTTGTTTTTCCCACAAGGGAACACCAGGAAGATCAACCAAGCCTGTCTGTGTGATGGCCACTTCTGGCTGGTGGGCTGCTGGGTTGCAGTCTCTGCTTAGAGCCAGCTGGTCTGAGCAGGTTCATGCCTCTGCAGTGTATAATACTAGGCCTCTAGCTCCATCAACTCTCCATGGTCTTTTAACCCATTGCTATGGAAGTTTGTTCTCTGGTTAAGGCCCTTTTGCCACCCAGATCCAAATGCAATGCTTGACTGAAACCAAGTACAGAGATCTGTCTCCAGGTCTACCCTAATGAATTTATGTCTATCTCTACATAGATCTTTATTCTCAAAGATCAATACAAGCTCACCAGGCAAAGCTTTTTGTTGCCTTTCCTCTGAATTTGACAGCCAAGGGTGCTCCAGCTAGTTCCAACTCTCTGCTGCCCTTTACAGGTCCTTGACCTCATTGCCTTCACCATTTAGCTGGGTTGACTCTCTGAATTCCAAAAAAAGAGATAAAGAAGATCTTGTGGTCTGAGATTGATCGTGTATTTTGTGTCAAGTGATTTTGTGTGTGTTTGGCCATTAATTTTTGTTCTGGTTGTGTGTGGGGAGGTGATTTTTTCTTAACTTACTTTCAATTATAGGCACATTCTGGTCTTTCTTCTTTATGTATCCACCGTCTTTCTTTTCTTCAACTTAAAACAGCAATGCTATAAAGTAGAAGAATTTGGCTACTTTGGTAAAAACAGAATGGTTTAACCAAAAGCACATGAAATTTGGGGTGAGGTAGATCTAGGTTTTAATCCAGCCTCTACTAATCATTGCCTCCATGAACTTAAGCAATATTATTATGGTTTTTCCTCTACAGAAGAGGGCATTATGTAATCATGCGCAAGCAAAACTGACTCATAGATGGTGCTCAATCCTGTTTTTTTTTCCTTCCTTAAGAAATATTTTCACTTTGAGTAAAGTAGCCACAGTATCTGCTTTCTTGCTATAGAAATTAGCACTCACTGTATGGGAGACATTTGTAACCTACTCCCCTCTCTCCCTTCTCCTTCTTCTTCAGTCTGTGGTCTCTTCGATTCAAGAAAGAGCATATACATTGGGCAGATGTTTAGTCAGCAACTGAGCAATTACTTTCTCCCATCCCTGACTAAAGGGATGGCCTGCAAGCTCGGGTAGCATTCTTAGACTGTGAGCCACAACCCTTATGCAATGTTAGCTATATGAAAACGAGGCAGCCTGCTGTACCCTGTTAAATGACACTGAGTCTGGGATGGCTCCTTGGAAGACTTGCTTCTACTTCCTACCTATAATAGCTAAATATGATTCTACTAGCACCATCATAGTATAGGGCAGGACCTGATTCATGTTGTGGTTTGTTGTCAGGCATTTTACCCATTATATTATATATTATATAATCATCAGGAGAAACTTGTATGTTAGGCTATCCTTCCCATTTAACAGATGAGGCAGCTGAAGCTCAGAGAGGTTGAAGTACTTGCTTAGGGTCATAGAGTTAGTAAAGGTCAAAGATAGGATTTGAGCCAAGTTCTGACCGGACACAAGTTTGTGCTTGTACGGATTGTGTTCCATTGCCTCTAAAAAGCAAGGGATTCTGAGAGTCAGCCAGTGGGGAGGGCAGCCTGCAGGGATATAGATCTTCATTCGGCTCCACATGGAGCCACAGGTATTTGGCATCTCTCATTGCCCTATGGGGGCTCGTAAAGAGTAAATTGAAGGTCAGTTTTAACTGCGACTCCATAAAATAATAATGTCAGATCATAGCCTTTTGTCTGTTGCTGTTCCAGTGTTGATTGATAGGTTACATTTTTAAAGATTGCATCGGCAATTCATGCTTTATTACTCCTGAATTAGCGTAATGCTTCAAATCATCTTGTTGTAATTCAGAATAATTATCTATAATTAAAAATAAATTCTTGCAGGGTGAGAATATCAATTCCTATTCAAAACCCTTTATTTTGATTGTGCCTATCAGCCTCCACCCAGCTCCTACCCAATAACTCTGAGCACTCGTTGTGGAGCTAACTTTGCTCTATCCAGTGCTTTTGTATTTTTTGCACCATTGTATATTCTCTTTTGAGATCAGCATTCCTTTAGGTATTTTGCCTTAGTTGATGCTCTTAAAGATACTGGCTTTTGTTTGGTTGGTTGAGTTAATTCACTTTGAGATTCTGATGAAAGCTATGAAACATACTTTAGAACAAAAATCACACAGGCACATACAGACAGATCGTGCATGGAATTTCAGGAGACTCAAGCATCCCCTAGGACTCAGGTTCTCTAAGTATGTCCCTGACCAGCAGCATTAGCAGTACTGAGAACTTGTTAGAAAAGTAAATCCTTTGGCCTGACTGAATCAGAAATTTTGGGGGTGAGGACCAGTAATCTGGGTTTTAACAAGGTCTTCAGGGGATTCTGATGCCTGGAAGTTTGAGAACCACTACCCTAGGAAGAGTTAAGAACTCTGGCTTGGCAGGATGTCACTGAACATGCTGGAATAAATATTAACACTTCTGAGAGCAGGAAGGGTAATGGATCCGTGAAAGCTCTGAACTTATTACCTTCACCGGGTGTTAACACCTGTTTCATGTTTCAGACTAAGGATCCATTTTCTCCCATGGGAGCAAAGCTGGTGGCACTATCATCTTCCATGTGGAGAGGTGAAGAACCAGCTGGGGACACCCACAGGGAAATGCTCCCAGGTGTCTGGAAATATTGAAGAAGATAGAGGAGGTGATAAAAATAGGTGGGTTCTCTCACTGGGTACATACCCATACTTAGATGGCCCACCTGGCCTGGCCTAGGAGTCACCTTTCTCTGAGACAGGCAAGTACTGGAGACTCTCATGCTGTACAGCAGAGTCTGAGTATGATTAGAGAAAACACAATTTGGTGCTTAGAGTTTCAAGAGGACAGAGATGAGTCCCAGCTACTTGGGAGGCTGAGGCAGGAGAATCGCTGGAACTCAGGAGGCGGAGGTTGCAGTGAGATGAGATCATGCCATTGCACTCCAGCCTGGGTGACAAGAGCAAAACTCCATCTCAAAAATAAATAAATAAATAAATAAATAAAAATAAAAAAAAGAAGTCAGAGACTGACTTTTAGAGTCAGTCTCTAAGTTTTTCCATGTAGGAGGTTATATGTCTCAGCCAGATAACCGTCATTAGATTTAATCTTTTAACTATGCTTCCATGCCTGGGTTTTATGATGTGAGTAAAATCTAAGTAAAGTTACCTAGATTCATAAAGAAGTTCTCATTTAAGACCTGAATTTCTCTTGAGCAAACACTTTCATACACACAGTTTATTGCACTAGATACCATAATCATTTACCCTCCATGAGGACAGAGACCTGGTTTCCTTGCTTACGGCAAGTGCCCAAAAATTTTTTGGCTAAATAAGTACATTTATTATCTCATTGAATTTCAAAACAATGCCCAGAAATCTGACCTGAGAATTATTGGGAGGCACAATTCTTCCCCTCTCCATATTTGTATCTTAACCATAAAGTGAAAAGATCTGGCCTTTTATTTTGCTATTCACAAAAGGGAGGAGTACCTGGACTTCTCTGGCAAGTTTGGGAAAAGGAACTCTTGTTTCATGCATCTGCTCAGACACAGAATGTGCCCTGCTCACTGCTTGCTTATTGCAAAGGTTTCTGGGGTGAGTAGACTTGGGTTACTTCAGTTTGACTAACACTGATGTGGGTAGATTGACTTATTTCCAGCATGAAATATTCCGAAGTCCATTTGGTGATGGGTCTGAACTACATGATCCAGTCCAGCTTTATCTATGCATAGATAAAGATTGTCTTCTGTCTGACCTCTTTATTTCCTCCATGGCTTCAGCACACCAGTGCTAAGGACGGGTGTTATTTAGCATCCAAATAGAGATTGCAGCCTTCTGAGATGTTGCCTTTCCCTGTTATATTTCATGCCCTTGTTTCCTGAGCTGACTAGGTTTGAACACTTTGTTTTCTACAGATCCTGGTAGAAATCTCAGAGTTCCTTTTTTCCTCTGAAACTCCTTCCCTGTTCCAGCACTAGTTGTTCTGAATGTTTCAGTCGCTTCCTAATGGAGTCCTCAGAGTCACTGGCTAGAGAAGACTCTCTCATCCCCTAGCTGCTGGCCTCATCCAGGCTTCTAGTACAAGAGCTGCCTCAAGCAGACTGTGTCCTGTACACACCACACAATCTTCCAATCCACTGCAATGTATTTGACCAGGGGTGGACACTGGACCCATGAGTAGAGGCTCAATGGAATCAAATTTTCCATGGCTTGCAGTCTGTGAGGTAGTCTGGTACTAAAGCAGTGTTCAAATAAAGTCAGAAAATGATTAACTAGGCCCAAACTGGAATTCTTCTTTGAGGGGACTGAACTGGAGATATAGACAAATGTCCACTAGTTGGAAGGACAGCCCAGGAACGAAGGTGCATAAGGGAGCTGGAATCTGACTGTAACTGAGGCTTGTTAAGGAAGAACACCAGAGAGAAATCACCAAGAATCTGCTGCTGGTTGCTACATGGATAATCAGGATGCTAGAATTGCCGTGAATCTCAAGTCTAGTCATGTTCTACCTCCAATACTTTTGGGAATCTGGATATGTCTTTTTCCTTCGCAGCCAGTGAAACCCAGCAGAGACTCTCATAATCCATGATGCTTCCATTTTTCTTTTCTGAATTCCCTTTCTGCTTCTCCAGCCCCCTCAAGAAAATTTCTGCATGGTATTCCTCAAACAAATAGAGAATATCTCTCCATTCCATATCAAGCAATTCTGTCCATGGCTGGGTTACTCCCCACCTCACATAGGACCTTCTTGGCCTCAGGGTCTTGTGTAATTGATGGGGTGGAATAGAGGAGGAAGAGTAGGGCAGATGTGGAAAACACAGCTTGGGGACCGATCTCCATTCTTCGATGTGCCTAGTTTGGCTCACAAGTATTTGTAAGAAAACATTTTTTGAATTAATTTCTAATGTTTGAAGAGGATATTCCCTCCTTAAAAGTTCAGATTTCTGGATTCTCTTAAACTTTGCATACCTGATGGCACTGGGCCTCCTTTCCCCCGAGCACAGTCGTTCAGAGCTGGGTAGCGGCCAGCCAGCCTTCTCCAGTTGAGCACATGCTTAGCACTAGTTCCTTCCTGGCCTGTCTTGGTCATGTATGTTACCTCTCTGACATTTGCTGTCATTTGACTTTGCGCTCACTGATAGAGACAGAATGAGGGAGCAGATGTGGAGGAGAAATGGAAGAAGTTATTCATTAAGCCAGGGCTAGGAAGAGTGCTAAGGAAGAAGTTCTAAGGACGGGAACCCAGCAATGTCATTGAGTTTGATGAGAAGGTGATCATTGATGGTTTCCATGAGTCCAAAAGTCAGATGGCAAGAGAGTGAAGAAGCTGATGATGGTTATGTAGGGTATAAGAAATCCAAAGAACTGAGCCATGAAATGCAGAAGAGAGGTATGACAGTTTCAGGGATGTAAAATAGTGACCATTGATAATGTCTTCAGAATGAGACCCATGAAAGAAGGTTAACAAAGAAGGTCATGCTTATGATATGAAGGAAGAATAGATGTTGTCCAAAAGGGAGGTAACATATCTATGACAAAATACGTATGGTGAGATGGAGCGTTCTGATTAGACATGGGGAAGATTAGTTTTCCAGAGCTAGAGAGGATTCATCTGTCTCCTCTGAGATTTGTAGACTCTGATGGCATTTTGTCCATGTTTTAGTTTTCCTTTTAGAATGGAGGGACCCTGAAAAAGTTTTGGTTCACCATCGATAGCAGTAGGTTCCATTAAAAGAAGATCCCCACGATAGTTTCTTTTGTTGAATATTGTTCTGTAGCACTGTTTCCTTTTCTTGGTGCCCTTAGGAAGATCACATATGAAATTAGCACCTCAAATTTACATAAATAAATTTGATTTACTGAAAATACTATGTAATAGCCATTAAACATCATTTGTGTAGCCTGCTTGTAATCACTGAGAATTATGACTTCTGTTTACAAAATCCACGTGCCTCAACCCACAACTGCTGAGACGTTACTTCCTTCAAGACCTTGAGTAGACTTGGTTCATGTTCTACTTCCTTACCTTCCTAGGAGTCTTACTAAATATACCCACTTCTGTCTTCCTCAAGCTCCCAGACTAAAAATATTAGCTATTGAATAAATGCATAAATATTCATCGAGGCTGAGTCTTCACTTATAGCTGTAACGAGCTCTTTATCTTCTCACATAGCCGTGACCAGCACTTGAAGGAAGCCAGGACAGTTCTTTTAGATTCTCTTCCTTGAAATGCCACCTCTTCCTTCCTCTGTAGCCTCACGCTCCTCAATTCCTGCTTTTTTGAAAGCCATAAACCAGGTGTAATGTTTGCCTCCTTGGCTTTATCTCTGCCTGAGGCACCCAGATGCCCTCCTGAATCTGGCAAGAGAAGAGACTCCCTGTGCTGGTGGCTGCTATCTTGTTTTTACTCCTCAACTCTGATATTCCCCTAATCCCATCTTGCGACTTGGCTACTTTTCCCAGTATAAACGCTTTTCCGTATGGCACCTCCCACAATGCACAGCTGGGGAGTTTCTCTGTTTACAGCTTCCTATGGGTTCATTATATTTACTTGATGGGGAAGGTTTCAATTACACCTCAGCCAGCTCATCCTCTTTAATTCATACTCCCACTACCTGCTCTTGTTACCTATCCTTCTAAATATTCGTCACCTATGTGAAGGTAATAAAAAGATCCTTCTGGGTTATCTCCAACTGTATGTCTCTTTTCAAATAACAACTGATTGCCTGAAAGAAAAAATTAAAGTCTGAGGGCAGTGAGCGATTTGTAGAATGTGCAGCATCTACATTCATTGGAGCTGGAGAGATCTTGGAGAGAATTTAATCTAAATTCTTACTTTCCAGATGAGGCCTAGGGCAGAGAAAGGATTTACTCCAGATCATTTTATTCATTAATAGAAGATCTCTTGCCTTCCCACACAAGACTCCACACATGCATGATTCTTTTTTGGTTTTTTATTTCTGCTATGATGACACAGTCATATTTACGTAGTCCTATCTACATACAATGTAGTCGTGTGTGTGTGTGTGTGTGTGTGTGTGTGTATACACATATGTACCTGGAGAATGGTTCCCAAACCTGTCTGAATCATCAGAATCAACTGAGATGCTTTTTGAAAAGACAGTAGCGAGGGTTTCTATCACATGTCCTGAAACAGAGTCTCTGAGGCTGGGCCCTGGAACCCAAGGTTTGGCCTTGGGGTTGCTGCTTAATAGAGTTCCCTTGCCCTCCCACCCTCTTTTCCCCTCCCATAAGGCACTGCATTTTCAAAGATTGGCCCCAGATTTCATAACATCATTAATAATGTGAAAGGGACCCTGGGTGGGTTTCCTATGTTGTCATGGGAGAGCCCAGCATCCACAACGAGAGGCGTGCACGAGGCAGCCTGCTGCCCCAAACGCAAGGCCCTGTAACTTTAAGCAGAGCTTTGCGAGCCTAGTAACTGGCTTTGTTTGTGTGTCTACGTGGAGGAGGAGACCAGCTTGTGAGCAGTACCTGGAGCCCGTGGGCGTTCTCTGGGGAAGCTGCTGCATGAGTCAGGCCTGCAGAGGGTTGGGGACTGGAGTCTTTGACGTACTCAGCAATGATTCAAGGGCACAGCCGAGACCTCGGCATGCCAGGTTAAGCGGGTAAACCACTCTCCCTGGCAGAGTGGGCCCTGGATGCATGGTAGGGAGCCATCTTGACTTGAATAGCCATATAATCAGCACTACCAGTAAAAGAGAGGGAGATAAGACAGTTTTCTCCTGGAACCTGCCCTGGGGTCTGAACACAAGGAAGTGGAATTGTGGGGTCAAATGGTCCAGGACTTCTGCTCCCAGTGAATAAACAAATTCACTAAGGCGTTAGCTCTAGAAAGATTTTATAACTTAGCTGGATGTATTTCAGGGTGGTATCCATCAGCCAGATACAAGAG